TTCCAACCAGTGCCATCTGGATAGATACAGGTATGGCAGGGGTAGTCAACCTGTGGCCCTCGGAGCTCTCTGATGTGACCTTGCCCTAGAACCATGGAGGCAAATGCCCAGGGTCGGCAACCCGTTGATCACAATCTGGGCTTGCCAACCCACCATTCCAGAGCATCAGATGAGCCGGTGCCGGCAGTGGAGGAAGAAGGCAACCACAGAGGGAGTAGGGGCCACATAAGCTGATGCTTCCTATGTAGCGCTGGCTCCTGTCCCAGGCAGAGTGATATCAAGTGCACATCACCTGGGACCTTTCTAGCAGCCTGGAGATGGAGAGCGATGTCAACAGAAGCTGGAAGAGAAAAATAAGGTCAGTGTATAAAGCAACATATACACTGTGCTTCTGCAATGGGCATATTAGCACCTATAAAAGGGTAATAGCTATTAGGCTGCTTTCACACTGATCTGCAGGTTGGCTTTCCTATGGGTTAGCTGCCCTGATCCATAGATTCTATTTTATCCTGTGGGTTTGGTGCACTTTCTGAAAGCATGCCAAAACTCCTGAATGTAGGCATTTTGGTTGTGCTTTCAGAAAGTGCACCAAATCTGCAAGATATAACAGAAGTCTATGGCAAAACAGAGCTAACCCACAAGTGTGTTTTACCAAACTCCCTCCAACCACTAGTGTAGCATCAGGGGTCACAATGGTGACCCCGCCCCATACTCCAGTGGTCCATGAGGCCACCCTTTCACATTCTGTTTTGGGTGGGTGGCGGGGGCGGCATATGCGGGAACTGAACTGATCTTTTCGTTTTTCCTCCTGATGGCATTCAGCGGCTGTAGGAGGAAAATTTTTATTCTGATATTCAGAATGCTATTCAGAATATTTAAAAAAAATGAGAAATTCTGAACCATTTAATTTCATTGTTGCCTATGACCAATTACCAAAGCACTTAAGAGGTCCTCGCACTTCAAAGGTTGAACACCCATGAGGTATGGCTTGTGTGGCCACCATTAGGATGGACCTTATCAGTATAATATTAGACAACTGCAACATTTTTGATTTTGTTCTGTACATTAACTGCATAGGCCTACTAAATGAACAGAACTGTCTGCGATGTTACATTTTTCATGTGTAGTTGGCTGTTGAGTGTCTACTTCAGCCTCAGCATCTGATTCTTAGTGCAGTCAGATAAACACACCAAAATAACAGTACTGGATATTTTCAGACTGCACATGCTAACATATTCCTAACAAGGATCAACAAAATCCACTTAAGAGGCCAACTGTTTGATATTGTTGCTTGCTGGAGTCCATCATTGTGCAATTCAGCACACTATGTAATACTGGCCCCATCAAGGTGCCTTTCCCAAATATTCATGTTGGTTCAAAGCAACCAAAAAGATTTACATCTGCATGGCAGAAAACAGAAGAATGAAAAATTATATTTTTATTTAACTAATTCACTCCCTTGTCATCTCTTGGCTATTGCAACACCCACCCAATTGGAATACCGCTACACTGGCTGTGCCCCCCATCATGAATGCTGCTGCCAGACTCATCCAGATTACACAATATTGCCTGTCCCTTCACTGGCTTGCATTCACCCAAAGAAGAAAATTCAAAACACTAACAATATAAAATACCATCTACAAATCTGCCCCAAGTTACAGCACCAATCTTGTTTTAACTTCTTCACGCCCGGCGTCTGGGCCTAGACGCCAAGCGGCCGCATATCTGTGTGCAATTAAGAAAACCATATGTGCTGAGAGCGCGGGCGCTCCCAGCACACATGTCCGGTACTCACAGAAAGGTCCCAATCTCCTCTTTTGATCGGGACCTTTCCCGATCATGTGATCGCCATGACAGCGAATCACGGTGGTCACATGACCCTAAAACCCCGCCCTGCCTCCCGGCTTCTGAAACCCTTAAAGGGCTGGGAGGCGCTGGCGCCAAGGGGTTAAAATGTAAACCAAACCTTCGTCTTTGCTCTCCCAAAGACATCCTGCTCTGTAGCTCTCCCACCACTCCCTCCCATGCTTGTCTTAAGGATTTCTTCTGAGCCTCTTCCGATCTCTGGAACTGCCTATCCTAATCTGTGTGTCTTTAGGCCCTGAAAATTCATCTCTTCAGAGAGATCTATCCCCCCTCCACCCAATAAATTGTACTTTATTTCTCCATCAACTTATCCGTCACAGTAATTACCTTTTTGTATCAGTTGACCCTCCCTTTTAGATTGTAAGCTCTCATTAGTAGGGCCCTGTGATCACCCTCAAAAACTGTTTTGTCACATGGCAACTAATCAGATTCAAACATTCATTTCAAATGGTCATTTCAGACACAATTTTGGATCTGATTGGATGCTGTAAGGCAACAATGATACATTCTTAAGAAATACACCTTTATAAATGAGACCCTCTAAGATTCCAATGCATGCATTTCATTGGATGACCAGACTTTTCATTCTGTCTGTTCACATCAGACTATCACATGCAACATGTTCACAAAAACTATAGAAACAAATTAGTCATGACCATGTCTATTGACAATAGACATTTTAACACATTATGAGCAAATTATGAAACAGCTGCATCACACCAATAAAACCAAGGTGTATCTTCAGTAGGGCTTTTAAATTGAACCTGATACAATGCATATAGCATGCTCATCTCACCCACTAAGCAGCCCAGTTTTACCAGGTGGCAGTGCTGTGATTTTTAAAATTTCACCTGCCATCTGCTGGTGAAATCTGGTATTGCAACAGTACAATTACACTACATTTCCGTACAGAAGGAATAGGAGGGCCCTGCTCATGGAGCTTACAATCTAAAGGAAGGGAGAGGTGATACAAAAGGTGATAGCTGCGGGGGATGATCTGGTGGAGGTGATTCAAGTACAGTTCTTAGATGGAGGTGAGGTATGCTTCCCTGAATAAGTGAGTTTTCAAAGATCGCCTAAAGGCAGACAGGATGGGGGCTGACTGGATATACTGTGGTAGGGAGTTCCAGAGGATGGGAGAGGCTCTGGAGAAGTCCTGGAGGCGATCGTGGGAAGAGGTGATGAGGGAGCTAAAGATATCTTGGGAAGAGCAGAGTGGGCGATTTGGGCGATATCTGCGGATGAGGTTGGTGATGTAGCTAGGGGCAGTGTTGTGGATGGCTTTGTAAGCTGTGGCTAGTATTATAAATTAGCACATAATTCTCTGTATTTGAGTAAAGTAAATCATGACAACAAAGGATACTTCTGTCTCAGAGAATCATTGAGCGCTATGTACCAAATAAAGACATAATTGTACTTCTGCACTTTTTTTCTCTCCTAAATGCTCTTTAGAAATAATAGATAACAAACACTATGTAGCATGCAAAAACATAATTAGTCAGAAGTGAAAATCAGAGAAATTTCCTGGAAGAAAAGGTACAGGTATTCAAAACCAGGAACGGGTACCTGGAAATTAAAGAAAACTGTTAACTGGTATTAAAAGCAGGTGTAATCAGTACCAGAAGAAGGCTCCCTAGTGCATGAAGAAAAAAGGAAAAGTGTGCATCTCCCCTAAGCTGAGGCTCATTGGGGAATAGTAAGCAGACAGGTGGAAAAGTCTATAAGCCTATTCATGAATGGAGACAATTTGCTTTTAGGAAAGTGCTACTTACTAAAGATGCCTGCGGATGGTAGAATCATGGCCAGACCATCACAAAAGGTCCATGGGGGATAGTGTTGCTGAACACGTAGCTTATCTAATGTTCAATAGGTGTAAGTAAATTAGAGGGATGTAGTCATAATGAGGATAGAAGAGCAGAGCCAGGTTTTAATGAACGTTATCATAATCAACAAAGGTACATAGATAGTCAATCAAATCATGTAGGATCGGCAACAAGGTGAAGATGAATTGTAAACTCATAGTTTACTATGAGTAAGGTCTTGTTTGACTGAAACGCATTAGTGTTGCTTGCATTCTAGAACTATTTTAACTCCGCATCTGAATAAAATTTCTACAATTCATCTTCACCTTGTTGCCGATCCTACATGATTAGACTTGGAAAATGGAAACCGCAGGAATCAAATGGTGAGATACATACTCCTTTTGGAAAACATGCTATGAGGGTTGCAGCACCTTTTCTTTGTATGTGTGACATAGATAGTCAGGCTGAAAAAAGTCCATCTAGTTTAACCAATAGAAATAAAAAATATTATGTGCAGATCAAAGGACATAGCTGAATATTTGCATATAAGCACTAACCAAAATTCATTGTAACAAACAATATTGTTATGTATTAAATCAATGAAGCCACAGTTTGCAGGCTTTATTCATACAGGAGTCGGTGTCAGTGCTCCTGCTACAGTGAGAAAAAAAAGTGGAGTCCAGTTTACTTGGCAGAGTGTCAGAATTGGATATTGAATTGGACTACGAATTGGGGCAAAAGTTAGATATCCAGCCCTAGGTGCACCCCCCACCCCCTCCCACCTTGCTGTGTCTCCCCAGCTCTGGATGTAATGTTCTTTCTTGTTTAAGCTTCAGATGTTTGAGTGCATGGTTGAGTGTCACTGCCAGGGGCAGACTGACAACTCATGGGGCAATAGGGGATCATGGGGCCCCTGTGTCCTTGCCCAAACTCAAAAAAAGCCTATGAAAAAGGTACCAGGGGCATCTCATGGGGCCCCCTACTGACCCTGGGCCCTCAGGCAGGTTTCCAAATGGTCAGTCCGCCCCTGGTCACTGCAAATGTATTTTCTCACAAATTAGTCTGTGGCAAAAGGGCTAATCTTTCCTGTTTTGATCCACAGTACCAATGAAAGTAGGCATTCACTTAAAGTGTTACAAAACCCACAACAGTAAAATCAGTCTGTATATGCAGTAAAGCATGCTTGTTATACTCACTGTGGAACCTAAGGGGTTGATCCTCTGAATTTTATAAAAAAACAGTATGTCTGAGCCTGTCTTCTCTGATCCTCCCCTTCTTCTACTGTCCCCAATATATCTGCTGATAAAACAGAGCCTTGTGGGCAAGCTGCACATGCTCAGTTTGGTGTGTATTGCTAGAGAGTTTTTTCTTGGAAGAGTGCATGTGATCAGCACAGGGCCAATCAGCACTGTCCAGACAGAGGGTCAGGGGTTATGCAGCCTCATAGAACAATCAGGGGAGAATGAAAACTCCTCCTACAAGCTTTAACCAGTGCTCTGCTGGACACTAATAGTAGCCAGAAGACTGCTGTAACTGCTGATGAGAAAAGTAATTAGCAATTTATATTTACTAAAATAATTGCATTTCCATGTTCTGTGCACTGTGGGAGACCAGATATAGTGAATGCAGGGTCCTGGGTTTAGTAACACTTTAAGACAGTCCTATTATATAGCTCATGTGTTGACATGATATCTAAGATCATTCTCAGTCTGTATGCTGCATTTTCCTTTGCTATAAGCTGACTTCAACCTTTTGACTTCCAAAACAATGTGTGTGCAGCATTAAATATTAATGTTGACTCAGCAGCTAATAGTTACAGTAAGCTTTGTCATTGTGCCCTTCATCACACAGTGGTGCATCACTGTTTGCAATGTGATAAAGTACTTCTAAAGATGCCAAAATTACCCAGTCATCCATAACTAATGACCTGGCCCCTAATGCAAGAGTCATCTCACGCCTTCAAATTCCCTTCACATGGGGTTAATCATCCATTAAATTTAGATACCACGGATGTATGACATGTATAGTACTGCCCTTTTCTAATTTGGCTTTTGCACAGAGAACACCACAGATCCTTGTCCTCCGAATTATCTGGAGACAGATATACTCCATTTGCAGCAACTTACATAGTATTCTGAATCTCAAAACCCTGCAGTCATTAGTTAAACGTTTTGTGAAAAAGATAACCCCAGCAAAGGAATAAAGCCTAAACAAGAAATGTTTCTAATTGCTGAATAAAGCAGATTGTAAAAAAATATATAAAATATTGCATGTGCCTTCTGGTTAAGCTTTTCTCAACCAGAATTGAAAAATTTCTGTTTCTCAGTTACCATTGGCATGAATGGTCTTAATACCTGTCTTTAAAATGACAAGGTAGAAATGGCTTTTCCTACTGACCATTAATAAAGGGGGTCCTTCCTCAATTGAGCATCTTGGTAATGGACTACTACACTGATCACCAATGTAAAGTCTGGCCATTAAAGCTGACCTCTGAGATTTTTGTAACAAATACATTTACCCTTCACATATGGAAAGGCTTCTTCACAGTAAAAGCTGTAAAAATGTGGAATAAACTCTCCCAAGAACAGGTTCTGGCTAGCTCAGTAAATGGTTTTAAAAAAGCTGCTGGTGGGGGGGGGGGGGGGGGGGGGGGGGGGGGGGGGGGGGGGGGGGGGGGGGGGGGGGGGGGGGGGGGGGGGGGGGGGGGGGGGGGGGGGGGGGGGGGGGGGGGGGGGGGGGGGCAATTCCTAAATTCACAAAATTTAACTGGATGCTAATTTTTAGCGGTAATACCACCAGGGGCAATTTATCCAGGGCATATCCAATTGCTCCATGGGGGATCAGGAATTATTTTTTTCCTCCACTGTAGGGAATTGGATCATGCTTTATTGGGGTTTTCTCTTTGCCTTCCTCTGGGTCAACTGTGGGTAAAGGATAGTGTATATGGAGGTTTTCTATTTGTGTTTTTTTATGTTATTTGTTGAACAAGATGGTCTTTTATCAACCTGGCTAACTATGTAACCATGCTGTGGGCCCCCTGCACTGTAAGGGTTATCTGCTCTTTAAGTCTAGGGTCAGAGGAATAAACTGTAATAATTACCTTGTTCCTCACTTCTGCAGGCTTCTGGGCCTCTCCTCCTGTCTCTGAAGCTTCAAATTGAGGATGAGCCCTCATGACTGCTGGTCTTGCATTGAATGTGATTATGTGTAAGCATGTTGAAATGCTGGGCTAGTGAGACAGCTGGCTGCCCTAGTTGGGAGGCAAGGGTTAATATAGTTTCCGGCACTTTTTGCTGTGCTTTGCCTCTCTCCCTGTCCTGTAAATAAAAGGTGGAAGGGCTCTGCTCACAGGAGTCAGTCTGCTGCATGGGAAGAATACACAGACAAGCCAATCAGGGGCGGACTGACCATTTGGAAACTCGGGCACTGCCCCGAGGGCCCGGGGTCAGTAGAGGGCCCCATAAGATGCCCCTGGTACCTTTTTCATAGGCTTTTTTGAGTTTGAGCAAGGACACAGGGGCCCCATGATCCCCTATTGCCCGGGGGCCCCATGAGTTGTCATTCCCCCCTGAAGCCAATGTATGTATTCCCCAGCTTTTCCACTGAAAGGGGGCTCAGTCTTGCATTGTTAGCCCTGCTTGCTGAGGTCTGCAACTTCCACCATGTAGGGGAACTGCTGAGACTTGCAGTCTGCCCTGAAGGCACCAGCATCTGGATTCTGCCACTATGGACTCTACTGAGAATGGACTTTTGCCTGTGTGGGTATGCTGGGCAGCCGCTGTAGTTAGGGACTAGTTTAGAGAAAGACTGTTGCCTTGTTGACTGTAATGCTTAAGTTACTCAAGTAAAGCGTTAAAACTTTGCAATGCCTGGTCTGAAGTCATTGAAGGGGTGTATGAAAGTAACTGGCACATCATACGTAGTTATCCGCAGCTTGGGTCAGTAAAACACTTTGGGGTATGAAGACAGCAGTACAAGAGTTATTGCAGTACAGAGAGGAGCAAGTGGTTACCAGGGGCAAAGGAAGTCTACAGCCAGTACATTCAGCCTGTCGTGAAGCATGTACCTGTGACAGGTGGGATGTCCATTAGCAATGAGGGAGATGTTGTCTGCACTCTCTGAGCAGTCTGTTTCCCATAAGCAATGGGAGCAGATCCACACCGCAGAGGCTCCAGGCCTGATCATAGGTATGGAACAAGAAGCGTTAACGCAGAGCATGCATAGAGTCCACGCTAGGTGCTCGGCAGGACTCCATTCCATTACTGGAAGTGAAGTAGCAGAGATACACTGGACAGGTGAAGGGGACATCGGCTCAGCATGTCCCTCCTAAATGCAACAACTGACAGTGAAGGTGTACGTTGATTCGCGACCTGGAGCCCAGTTTCTCTTTTTAAGTGTACACATTGTATGACCATCTCTAATTTGTAGGTCTACCTTAAGGTTGAGTTATCGCTGAAAGGGACCTCTGCCCTGTCCTGGGGCATTTGTGAGCTCGGCACATTAAAGGTGCCACACATGGAAGGTGTCCAAGGTGCCTAGCATAGCCCAGAAGAACCAACTCCAGGGTAGGCCTCTTAAGTAACCCACGCTTGGCGCCCGACAAGGAGGGGAACATGGAGGAAGTACCACCCACCTAACCTACATATATCAGAAAGCAACTGCTAGCTGTAGTGTTGAAGAAAAGAGGTACAGTGTGGTAGAAGCCTGCCTGATTGAGTTATAAGGTATGTATTACAGATTATTCCTCTACCCCTAGACTTATCGAGCACAAGGTAGTGCACTGCAAGGGTATTAAAAAAAGAAATCCTAGAATTCAGTAAATATATTATTTTAAATTTTATATTAGTGGAGGGTGTTCAAAAATGATCAGCTATGGGTTTCAAATACATTAGGTAGCCGATATTCTTTTTTTCTATTATATATCACTTTATTTTCAATTTACTGATAACGATAATGTACTGTGAGTATCAATCTAATAATTTACCAGGGGTTTAACTTTTTCACTGTGAGGCCTACCCAGCGCTGCAAAGCCTCTTCTACAAAATCATTTTGGCCATTTCCTTCGAATTGAAAGTCCATTCCCTTCCAGAACAGACAGAAAGGAGCATGTGACCAGTAAAATTAGCTTTTATGATGGCTCATTGGAAACAAGTAACCTATACTAATTACTGAGTCACTTTTAGCATAACAAAAAGAAGATTGCACTTTATAAGCAAGGACACCAACGATGAATGATTCTAACTAGTACAAAATTCACAGTCCAGAGTCTGAGTGTACAGTGTATATATATATATATATATATATATAGGCAGGTCACATGACTGTTTCAGTTTTCTGTTTTAAAATTATGGCAGCCTCAAGCCAAAATAAGAGGTAAGTCTATATTTAAAAATGTTAACACACAACTTTTAAGAGACTCATTGGAATGCCTAAAGTTAGCACACCCCAGGATGTTAGAAACCTAAACAGTGTTCCAAATACAGTTTTGTTCCACCCTTTTTCTATAGTTGGATAAGGAAGACATCACATGAGTCTCCATTAAGACTATGTGAAATATTATAGACCAGTCGACATTTACCATACTTGACAATCTTTTCTCCTTTGAACTGGTTTATTTTCATGGATATTAAAAACAGCTATTGATATGACAGTAATGTAAGAACATTAAATTGTATCTAAAGGCAAACATTTTTATTTAGTTTTTGAAGAACACTTTGAATTTCTGTTTTTATTGCTGCTGAAGAAATTCACTCTCGCTATTTGTCTTGTTGACCACAATCATTGGGATTCAAAGTAATGGAAAATGCAAAAAAAGTTTAACTGTAAAAGTAATAGAGGGGGATCTTCAAATGGGATCATCTGTTCAACTCTGTCTAAGAGGACATTCCCAACTGTCTAAAGTATATTTTCTCTCACGTCACTGCAAATGGAAGGAAATCTCCACAATGGCAAAGCAAAATCTGGCAACCCTTCCCTATCCAAAATTAAAAAAACAACAACTTTTTTTCTTTGACATACTTAATTTGTAATGTTCTAGTTCAACTGTTTCTGTTCTGCTGCTAAAGGGCTTGTGCCAGAACAAGATGCAGTCATTTCTTGTGCTCCATGCTCTGGCATTAGCCCCTGCCTATAATATCACAAGGTGAGTCTGTTGGGCCGAGTCACCATTTCCCTTTCACTAGTTATATCTATTGAGTGATAGTGGTGAGATCTCCAGTGATGAGATCTCCCTGCTATACTTCCAGGACCTAGTACTCTTAATATATTAATAAATTAGCTGTTCACGTCCACTTTGTGGCTGTTCATTCTCTATAATAAAAGCTTAATCAAAGGAGGGAGAGTGGGACCCTACTGTAATCCACCCATCAGGTGGATAGCAATCCCATCACTGGAGTTCTCAAGTTTAAAAAAAAAACCTTTATAGCAGTTTAACTCTGCATCATCTACGAAAATTGAAAAATTATTTCTTTATGGTCTGACCTTTTAAGTGGCATGCTTTATGTCAGGGTTTGGCAACAGATCCATTGCAATCTACCAGTCAGTCGCAGTCATTTGATGGGTAGATCGCAACCCATCGTGGTTGTTGCTATCATTGGGAACCAAGGATGTCCCACATCCCTCACCTGGGTCTCTGGGTGCCAGTGCTGCTGTCACCCATGTTCTCTAGTGTACGGCTGGCCAAAATGCTGCTTCTGGGTAGGCAGAGTTCTGTACACACAAGGAGGGTAGCCACAAACAGGGGACACCCCATCATGCTGTGCTTACTCAGGACTGCTGCATTCCACTCTTTCCCTCCATCAGTGGCAGGGACATAGGGTAACTGAAGAGGCTGGAGGGACAGCCAGCCATGCCAGCAGAGGGACTTAAAAGAGAAAAGTAAGTGAGAGCTGGTGTGTGTGTGAGTGTGTTGAAGAGAGCATAGCCCTTGAAAGGGCTAAGCTACACCTCTGTGGATGGTCATCTTTCCAGCAATGGGTCTGGATTAATTTTATGCTTAAAGCTCCTCATTTTTATGAGTAGATTGGGTTTTTTGCTTTGTTTTGGTGTATATACTCCTTACCCCTGCACTATGTATGTTACATATTTCTGACCTCTGCACTTTGTTCACTGTACTTAACATTTACTTCTAACTACTGCACTTTGTTATGTACAAAGTGCAGGGGTCAGAAGTGAGTACCATACACACTCCCAATCCCTGCACTCTGTATGCTTCAGTCTCCTGACCACTGCATTCTGTGCAATACATACTCCTGACCCTTGCACTCAATACATAATATTCCTGACCCATGAACACTGTACATAGTACACTCCTGACCCCTTAATTTGTATGTTACACACTCCTGACACCTGCACTCTGTATATACCTTCTGTATCACACTTGGGTGATGAATTACACTTCAGACATGAAATACACTGTGAACAAATGTAATGCCAAGTTTTTCAGAGAAGTTTGATTCAACTCTTCTCTAGTTTTTAATGGGGCCCTGCTAGGTTATATATAATAAAAGTATGCTGCACCCTGGTGTTCTTTAAAGTCTTCCATGTTGTTCAGGTAGATCTGCCCCTCAATGTACTCCAAAATAAGATACTTCAAGGGCACTTGCAGAATAGAACAAAGTTTATTTTATTTAAAAAGCAACAAAAAGTTAAAGCAGAGCTCCAGTCAAAATGCAAAAAAAATAAAAAAACAAAAATCAGCAGCTACAAAAACTGTAGCTGCTGACTTTAAAAAAGACACACAACTGTCCCTCAATCAAGTGGTGTCCACACTGCAGCTGGTCTCACCGGTCATCCGCTCTCCCTGATGCCGGCATCTTAAGTGCACGAGTAGCGTGGACAACTTCCATTTCTGATCGCCTAGGCGATCGCAGCGGAAGTGGGAGCGGGTACCTGTCAGAAATCGGGTCGCAACCCCCCGTTCCCCAAAAGGTGCTAATCCTTAAATAAGGAGCAGGGGACGAGGCCTTAAAGCGGAACTTCCCCTTTTGGGTTGAGCTCTGCTCTCAAAACATTTAAATGTGCCCATCCTTAAAACCCATGTAAATGGTTGGAAAGTTGGACATTATTAAATATTTTTAACTGTTGTTGCTTTTGAATTGGAACACGCAAGCACCAAGACCTATGCTGCATTCCACAGAATGACAATACAGTGTGACTTCCTGGGGCAACCTCTCTCAGCATTAGTATGCATCTCCCTACACACAAACAGCAGTGAGTGGCACATTTCTAGTGTGTTTCAAATATTCGCCTCTGTGGGGTTTCCTACATCTCTTTATGTGTTTGATTTCAAAGTTAAATCTGTATATACCTGTGGTCAGGGCTTTTTTACTCAGAGAATAGGTGCAGGAAATTCCCCTTGTCTCTGCCCCTTACCCACCTCCAACCACTGTCCCTTGGTTCCACACCCTCTACCCACCTCCCCAGTACTGCCTCTTTTAGAAAATATAGAAGTATAACTTTGTGGTGCTAAGTAATTTGTTAATGATAGCAATATACCCCTGCAGACAGCAACAATAGACACCTCCTGCAAGAATGGACCCCCTGCAACAAAATACCAGCCCAACAACAATAGATCCAGCATAGCGACAATAGACTTCTCACTCAACAATAGATCCCTCACAGCAACAACTGACCTCCACCAGCAACATAACCCCTTCAGTAGCAATAGACCACATGCCAGCAACAAGAGACTTCCCCAGCAACAAAAGATCCCCACTAGCATCAATAGACCCTCCAGCACACCCAAGCATCCCTTGCCATTAACATACATTCAGTGCTGGAACTGCGTTCCCCCGCATTCCCGCTGAAAAAAAGCCCTGCCTGTGGTCCACTTTACTACCAATAAAAGTAATACGGCAAGATTTCAAACTGAAGGTAACTTTCAGCAACACTAGATGATTATCTCTAGATGGCGATCTATTCTAATGTAATGTGTAACAAGGAAAATAGTTTTAGATGGGTGTATTAAATACTGGAGCTGGACAAGTGTTATTTAAAGTGAAACCATGAAAAATGTGTAACACCCACAAAAATAACAGTGTGCAAAGCATTTTTTTGGTAGAAGAGGATTTGTATGTTGGAAAATAGCTACATATTTGAATCCCTACATAATCCCTACGGCACTGGCTGAACTTCCTCGAGAGATGACATTTTCAGTAAAGTCACTAGTCTGTCTCCTCTGACCAGCCAGTTTCTGGACAGATCCTCAAGGATTGATTTATGCCTGTTTTCATGCAGTAAACTGAAACTTAAAAACTTTATTCTTGGATGGAGTAAGGAAGGATTAAATCCTTTTTTTTTTTTGCTCCCAGAGTCCCTAACACAGAATTGAAAATTCTACAGAGCTTCTAATCTCACTCTAACCAGAGCAAAAAAAAAAGCTACTTTTGTCTGAAGTCCTATTTTAAAATACATATTGATTAGGAAATGAGCAATTCTTCCAAGCCTTGTTCATTAACCTCTTCGCCAGGACTTCCCCCATCCTCTGGAACTCACTACCCCAATCCATCAGACTGTCACCTACCCTCCTCACCTTTAGGCGCACCCTGAAAACCCATCTCTTCAGGGAAGCCTACCCCACCCTCACCTAACAGCCGATCTCCTCCTACCACTCCATCCCCCACAGCCACTTCCTCCTGTACCACTATCCCCTCCCTCCTAGATTGTAAGCTTGAAAGAGCAGGGCCCTTGACCCCCTCATGTTTTGTTTTGTTACTGTATTGTCTCATGTACTGTCCCCCATTATACAGCGCTGAGCAAACCTTTCTGGCGCTATATAAATATTGTATAATAATAATACTTCAACAAAACTGTGTTCACCACATTCACCAATGTAGCAGTTATATAACTTTGTCTTTCAAGAAAGCAATGTAATCGCCATGTTGCTTACTTGATGATCAGTTACTTTTTTTGCAAACAAAATCATGTGAGTATTATGTCAATGCTAACTTGACTATTACATGGCTTTGATGATTATCAACAAAGTCTTGTCACACCGCAATAGAGTTTCACAGTTAGCAGCACTGCATGCTTAGGCTCCATTCACACTTATGCAACTTGTCATGTGACTTTGGGGTCCACATTCGCATGGCAAGTCGCCCCCCATATTTCCCAAGGGGTACCATTCGTATCTGTGTGACTTCAAGTTGCAGCGATGTCAAAGTAGTTCCTGCACTACTTTGGTCCGACTTTCATGCAAATTGAGTGCCATAGACTTCATGTAAACCCTCCAAAAGTTGCATGAAAGTTGCACCTGAATGTTGTACATGAAAGTTGCACCTGAATGTTGTACATGCGACTTGTGAGCGACTTTGTACAGTAGAAACAGTTATCCTTGGTCAAAGCCAAAGTCGCACCAAAGTTGCACTCATCCAAAGTCGAATCAAAGTTGTGCCAAAGTCGCATTAAAGTCGCATCAAGTAGTACTGTAAAGTCGCAATAAAAATCGCACGATTTTGAGTTCACACAAGTGTGAATAGAGCCTTAAAGCTTTATAGACATAATGCTGCATGACAAAATTATAGGCACAGGTACCTCAAGAGGGAGTAAAGACTGAAAAAGAAAAATAGACAAATTAAAAAATAAGTTTTCTATATTATTAAAGCCCATAAGTGGCAGTTCCACATATTCTGTAGAAATATGCAGTGCAACGAAGTATGTCTTTGGATACTATCATTGGGTCTTTCTTCACCTTCATCTGGATCCATAGAGAAGTAATTCCTAAAGCATACCTGCATGACTGCACACACAGGGGCGGACTGACCATTTGGAAACTCGGGCACTTCCCGAGGGCCCGGGGTCAGTAGGGGGCCCCATGAGATGCCCCTGGTACCTTTTTCATAGGCTTTTTTGAGTTTGGGCAAGGACACAGGGGCCCCATGATCCCCTATTGCCCGGGGGCCCCATGAGTTGTCAGTCCACCCCTGACTGCACCATATTTTGGAATAAACTGGAAGTCATAGTGATTTATTACAAATTATTCTGACTCAGATTGTTGTGATAGCGATTTATCCCTTGTGAGACCTCTCTGCCTAGCCTGTATAAGCAGATATAATCACTGTGGGCAATCCTTATCAGATAGCTTGAACTCACCAATACTGTGTTCATCCAGAAGTTGCTTTATTCTGTACATGTGACAACAGGATACAGCAGAATGAATGGTTTCCAGTATTATGCGGTCAAAAGATGATACTTTCTGTAGCGTACTATGCAGAATACATGTGTCCCTGTTACATGTGGTCTGTTAGCTGCCTCCATGACACAGGAAGTGCTGAACTCAAGAAGAAGGGAGGAGCTTCATATACAAAGGATCTGTGTCATAGATCTCAGGGAGGCAACATGAAAAACAAATGCATACCAAATAAGGCCACTGGATGGCAGCATTACTAACTATAGAAATGTCCATAGGAAATGGTACAAAAAATAAACTATATGAATTCTCATGTACATTAACATAAATATTAACTGTGTAACAGCATACAAATCATGAGCTTGTTTATACATTACTTATACATTAAAGCTAAACAAAACTGAAGGGCTCTCTCGCAACTAGACAGTCTGTTGTGGTTCATCAACACACATTCGTTATGTTGCATGTTATTGTGGATTATTAATTTAAATAGACTGCCACTGCACCGAAATGGATCAAAAAAACACAAAAGTGTCTTTTTTCTGATATAACACGAGTGTCAGAGATGCAATGCCCTTGTGCGTTGATCTGCCATTGAAAATAAATGGCACCACAAAGCCATTAAATTAGCCTCAGAACCAATGTAATATGTGTTCGGTTTTACAGGGATGGGGAGGCAACCCTACTGGGAGCATGCAGTGAGCACGCACTCGGAGACACATATGTGCGGCATGTGGGCATTAAAGTCCACCCTTTTGCCTCCACACATATGTGTTGGGTGTTTGGAAGGGGATTAAGATAAACAGGCAAGTTCATGAGCAAAATACATGACTACATGCCTAGATCATTTCTCTAATAGTTCAGAGGAACCCTAGGCTCAAAAATACACCGTCCAACAGTGCTGATACTTAAAGTAGTACTCACCAGTATGCGAGCACCACAAACTGAAAATGTTATTTAACTCATTTTTAATTTTCAAAGCAAACACACCCATCAATCCATATCTTTATGCTTGACTTTGTTGGGAAATAGCTCTGAAAAACACCCCCCACTCCAGCATTTCTAGCCACGGCCACCTTGAGTAAGGGCAGATGATTCATATAGCATTTACTTCCTGAAATCCATCTGCCCTTAGCTTAGGCGTATGCAGGCAGGAAGGTATGCTTAGTGCATTACCATAAACAATATTTAATAAGAAGGAAAAGTAAGTGCTGTACTCACAAACGACAGTAAAGTCAAAGGAACGTCATAAAAGAACAGCTGGGTCAACACCGCGCTAAGTGACAGTCTGCAATAGGGAGTGTAGACATCCAGTAGGCTGGCAAGTTTCGAGGACTTGCCTCTTCCTCAGAGCCAACTGACCAAATGTCTCAGACATTCCCTATTGCGGACTTTCACTTAGTGCGGTATTGACCAAGCTGTTCTTTTATGACGTGCCTTTGACTTTACTGTATATTTGGATTTCCCCGGTCCATTGAGGGCTGCAAGGTGTGCATGTTCCAGGACATTCTTGATGTGGTTATAGCCTGCATCGAGTCCATCCACAAGGGCAGGAACATTTGTGTTTGCAGGAAGGGATGCTTAGCTGAGAAAGTCACAGTGGCTAAATGGTTAGCACTTCCACCTGCCAGTACTAAGGTTGTTGGTTTGAATCCCAACCCTGGCACAACCTGCCTGGAGTTTGCATGTCCTCCCTGTGCCTATCTGGGTTTCCTATGGGTACTCTGATTTCCTCCCACACTCCAAAGACATGCTGGTAGGTTAATTGGCTCCTGTCTAAATTGGCCCTAGTATGTGTATGTATGAATGTAAGTTAGGAACCTTAGATTGTGCACCCCTTGAGGGTTAGGGACTGATGTGAATGTACAATATATATGTAAAGAGCTGCATAAATTGATGGTGCTATATAAGCACCTGTAATAAATAAACAATAAAGTCCTTTCTCTCCTCCTGCAGATGAAAGAAATAAATGCCAATGAAGACTCCTGGGATGTATGAGTTATCACCACAGAATATGTCTGGCAGGATCATCTGTGTTTTGCACGTATCAAACAGAAATAACAAAATACTTTCAATGGTATATTTGACAGACCAAAAGGGAGCAAATAAAAGTTCCTTGTTAGGCTCCATGCACACGGGGCGTTTTGATAACGCTGGTTACGTTAGCTGTGTACAGTCACGTTAAAAAACATGAGTTTTTCAGCTTTTTTTAAGCGTTTTTGCATTAGCGTTTAGCTGCATTTTGCCGCGATTAGTGGTGTTTTCCCGCATTTGCATTTTTAGCATTTGGGGGTCAAAAAACATCCAAAAATGCTGGTTTGCGCCCTTTTACTGCGTTAAGAGCATTTGTACAGCTAAAAAACTCCTCTAGAAACCCACTAGTCCTGTTTCTTTTTCCAGCCAAAAAACATCCATGTCAAAAAAACATTGATTACAGTCTATGTGTGCATGGACACATAGGATAACATGCTGGGGGGTTTACTGGCTGTAGAAAAAACATCAAAAGCCAAAAACAGCCGCTGTAAAAACGTCAAGTATGCATGAGGACTTAGAGTTTGTATAGTAAGTAGTCATTTAGTTTGCAGGAACACAGTTTTTTTTAGCTTAGTAAAACAGATGACATTTGGAAGGTGAGCTGTACAGTGGTGTGTTCATACCGTGAGCTGCACAGTGGTGTGTTCATACCGTGAGCTGCACAATGGTGTGTTCATACCGTGGGCTGCACAGTGGTGTGTTCATACCGTGAGCTGCACATTGGTGTGTTCATACCGTGGGCTGCACATTGGTGTGTTCATACCATGGGCTGCACATTGGTGTGTTCATACCGTGAGCTGCACAGTGGTGTGTTCATACCGTGAGCTGCACAGTGGTGTGTTCATACCGTGAGCTGCACAGTGGTGTGTTCATACCGTGAGCTGCACAGTGGTGTGTTCATACCGTGAGCTGCACAGTGGTGTGTTCATACCGTGGGCTGCACATTGGTGTGTTCATACCGTGAGCTGCACAGTGGTGTGTTCATACCGTGAGCTGTACAGTGGTGTGTTCATACCGTGAGCTGTACAGTGGTGTGTTCATACCGTGAGCTGCACAGTGGTGTGTTCATACCGTGAGCTGCACAGTGGTGTGTTCATACCGTGGGCTGCACAGTGGTGTGTTCATACCGTGAGCTGCACAGTGGTGTGTTCATACCGTGGGCTGCACATTGGTGTGTTCATACCGTGGGCTGCACATTGGTGTGTTCATACCGTGAGCTGCACAGTGGTATGTTCATACCGTGAGCTGCACAGTGGTGTGTTCATACCGTGAGCTGCACAGTGGTGTGTTCATACCGTGAGCTGCACAGTGGTGTGTTCATACCGTGGGCTGCACAGTGGTGTGTTCATACCGTGGGCTGCACATTGGTGTGTTCATACCGTGAGCTGCACAGTGGTGTGTTCATACCGTGAGCTGCACAGTGGTGTGTTCATACCGTGAGCTGCACAGTGGTGTGTTCATACCGTGAGCTGCACAGTGGTGTGTTCATACCGTGAGCTGTACAGTGGTGTGTTCATACCGTGGGCTGTACATTCGTGTGTTCATACCGTGAGCTGTACAGTGGTGTGTTCATACCGTGAGCTGCACAGTGGTGTGTTCATACCGTGAGCTGCATAGTGGTGTGTTCATACCGTGAGCTGTAAAGTGGTGTGTTCATACCATGAGCTGCACAGTGGTGTGTTCATACCGTGAGCTGCACAGTGGTGTGTTCATACCGTGAGCTGCACAGTGGTGTGTTCATACCGTGAGCTGTACAGTGGTGTGTTCATACCGTGAGCTGCACAGTGGTGTGTTCATACCTTGAGCTGCATTAAGTGCACATCAACATGTTTGCTCTGGGGATCCTCTTGCACTGACTGTGTGAGCCCTCTCACTCTCTCAGATGTGCTCCGGATCCATGTATCGATTTCTGGAAGGTGCAAGATAATCTTCCAATCAGCTCCACTGTGGATGGGAGGAGGCCTGTCATAGCGCGGAACACAGTCTTGACCAATAGGGGGCTCCATTTCACCTATGCCAGAGGTGTGAGACTCCATGATATCTCTGTCTTGGGTTCCGGAGGGTGTCACCAATAAACTCATGGCGTGGGGTTAACCATAGCTATGGAAAAATAAAAAATTATAGAACAATATATCGTCTTTGTCATTCAGCATTCATTTTTTTTCAATAAATTCCTATTTATTTGTATAAGCATTTGTGTGAATATTCGCATGAACATTCTCAGTAAATTAAATGACCTTGCGAATATTATTCAAAAGTACTACCAAATGTAATCTGAATTTAAATTAGAGCACCATGTTCGGTGTTTCCAAGTATGGGGAGCATGTGATCCCTTCCCTTTTGACAGTGCTTGGTTCTAGAAGCCAATCTCTGGGGGAAGGGGGGGTGGGGGCGGGGGCATTAGGTAAGTATCACTGGGGATTATTAAATAATGACAATTATTAATCCTTAATCCGTTAATCTTCTGCATTGTGTAAAAACACTGTTTGATCCTGATTTCTCTGATCCTCCCCTTCTTCCAGTGCCCCCTCTTATCTCCTGATAAGACATATAATGTGGAGTCACTCTGCACATGCAGAGTTTGATGTGCATTGCTAGAGAGGACTTTTTTTTTTTTTTTCTTTGAAGGGTGCATGTGATCAGCACAGGACCAATCAGCACTCTCCAGACAGAGGTCAGGGGTTCTGCATCCTCCTAGAGCAGAATAAAAACTCCTCCTACAAGCTTTAACATGTGCTCGGCTGAACACTGATAGAAGTCACAAGACTGCTGTAACTGCTGATGAGAAAAGGTATTTAGCAGTTTATATTTACTAAAATAATTGCATTTCCATGTTCTGTGTACTGTGGGAGACCAGATATAGTGAATGCAGGGTCCTGGGCTTAGTAACAAGTAAAGTTGCAGTTTCTGTTGGGCACGTGTGTTGAGAAACACACCACTGCAATAAGCCCATAATGAAAGTAGTACTCATTCCTCTTTGACAGTTGTCACCAGAACAAGTGTCTCTATTTGAAGATTTCTCCTTTATTGTTGTTCTTGTGACTATTCAAAATTTTGGATTATCCCTTATTTTCAGCCCTGCTCACAGTGGTCACCAGGAGAATAGAGAGAAAGTGAATATACCTAGCAGGGACACAACAATAAAAACCTGACAGAGGTTCTAACGCCTCACCACTATTTAAAGCCCTACAGTAGTGTCTAGGAAAACAAAATTGGCATACAGTAGAAGGATGCGAGAATACATGGTTTTTTTAATATCTAATATCTTCACATGATCTATTTTGCTTCCTAGAAAACATATCTGGACTTTAATACACAGCAAGATCCCCAAACCTTCAGTACTTCCAGTACCATTACAGCCATCACTGTTCCCTATCCCCAGTGCAGCGGCAGTCACTGTCCTATTTGGCTCAGTTATTATACCAGTATTGTGATCTCATGCAATCAACTCTTTCAGTGATCTCATACATCAGACCAGTATTGTGATCTCATACATCAGACCAGTATTGTGATCTCATACATCAGGCCAGCGCTGTGATCTCATACATCAGACCAGCGCTGTGATCTCATACATCAGACCAGTATTGTGATCTCATACATCACACCAATGATCTTATACATTACACCAACACTGTCATTTCATACATTACTCCAGTACTGTCATCTTGTATTTTACACCAGTACTGTGATCTCATACATCAGGCCAGCGCTGTGATCTCATACATCACACCAATGATCTTATACATTACACCAACACTGTCATTTCATACATTACTCCAGTACTGTCATCTTGTATTTTACACCAGTACTGTGATCCCATACATCAGACCAGCGCTGTGATCTCATACATCAGACCAGTATTGTGATCTCATACATCACACCAATGATCTTATACATTACACCAACACTGTCATTTCATACATTACTCCAGTACTGTCATCTTGTATTTTACACCAGTACTGTGATCTCATACATCAGGCCAGCGCTGTGATCTCATACATCACACCAATGATCTTATACATTACACCAACACTGTCATTTCATACATTACTCCAGTACTGTCATCTTGTATTTTACACCAGTACTGTGATCTCATACATCAGGCCAGCGCTGTGATCTCATACATCACACCAATGATCTTATACATTACACCAACACTGTCATTTCATACATTACTCCAGTACTGTCATCTTGTATTTTACACCAGTACTGTGGTCTCATACATCAGGCCAGCGCTGTGATCTTATAGAGTATATCAGAAATTCAACCTGCAGCCCTTTGACACTTTTTTTTGTTGGCCTTGGGGAGCCTACAGACTGAAGTGCTTACTTGGATCAATGAAGAAAAGGTATTCTTTAGGCTGGCTTTTAGTAATTAGACTTTTTTTGTCTTGACAATGTGGCACAATTAATTTTTACGGGAGCTACAGGGAGCACAAATATAAAAGTAATGCTTGGTAAAGGGGCTGCATCTCAACCAATCTCAATGAATATGTTTCCAGCCTATGACTGTCGTCTCAAGCAAGTTCCCAGTCTCCAACAATGCCTTGTTCTGGTGTCTTCTACCATCTCCTGTAGCGTGTCTGCAGTCTCTGTCCTTTTCTTTCAGTAGGTCCAGAGTCTTTGACCATCACTTGCAGAAGGGCCAAAGACTTTGACCATCTCTTGTTGCATTTGTACAGTCTATGACAGCTTTCTGTACTGTTCTTAATGTTACATGTGGCACTTTGGTGGTGCCTAGGGCATGTCAGTGGTGGTGTGATATGCATATTTACAGTGATGGTATAATGGCAAGGTCAGAGTGTTGGTGTAATAAAGAGGTTATAGTGCAGGTGATCTGTGTGAGGTCACATTGGTGTTGTCACACATTAGATCACATTACTGGTGTACTATGATAAGTCACAGTGGTGGTGTAATAAAGAGTGTACTGTGTCAGAGGTGTAACTAGAATCTTTGGGGCCCTGATGTAAGAAGCATGCAGTGCATGAAGGGCTCCCTTGATCTGAGCCCGGAGCCATTGCACATGTTCTGCTGCAGGCCCCCTTCCTGCCCTTACATTAGAATCCCCTCTTAGATCAAAGTTCTCAGCATTTCCAGAGCCCCCATTACAGTACATCAGAATCTTCAGGGTTTGCCCTACTATGCAAGGGGAAACTCTGTGGACTCTGATGTAAAGGGAATTCTGCATATCCTGATGTAAAGGGGAACTCTGCAGACCCTGATGAAAGGAGGAATGTTGCAGACTCTGGTGCAAAGGGGAACTCTGGTGTAAGATGTTCTCTGGTCACCAGAGCAGACCTCAGAGTCTGCAGGGTTCCCCTTGCACTGTAAGGGTAAACTTTGCTGACTCTGATGTAAGGGAAATGCTGGGAACTCTGATGTAAGGAGGGCTCTGGTGACCAGAGAAGCTTTTGCACCAGAGTTCCCCTTTACACCAGAGTCCGCAACATTTCTCTTTACACTGGAGTCTACAGAGTTCGCCTTTACACCAGAGTCTGCAGAGTGAAGAGGTCCACTGATGTAAATGGGGAGTGAGGGCACTGATATAAGAGGAAATCTTTATATCAGTGTTCCTCCTTACCTTGGGGTCTCTACTCACCCCTGACATCATTGGCCTCCACTAGAATGACTGACAGTGTCACACACTGTCCTGTAATTGCCTGCAGGCTTTGGTTCTCCTCTCCCCTGCGCCCCCTCCATGCAGATGTTTCCAATTTTACTGTAAGGGCAAAGTCACTGTGCACATAACCAGTGAAAATATCCTCCCCCCACTCCCCACCCCCTGCCACTCAAGCCTATCTCCGCCAAGACCAAGCAGAACTCAGCCAATTACTAATCGGACAGCTCCAGAACTGTGTGTGCGCAGTGCGAATCCGGACGTTGTCACCACGCACCTGATATATTTTTAAAACTATGTTTTTTTCAAAAACAGATTCAGTTTACTTAAGATTTGCACATCTGTCTTCAGTTCAGTTCGGTTTACGTGAGTTTATATCAGTTCAGTTAAAGTGTGTGTAAAGGCTCAAGGTTTTTTACCCTTATGCATTCTATGCATGAAGGTAAAAAACCTTCTGTGTGCAGCAGACCCCCCACCCCCCTCAATACTTACCTGAGCCTCATCGAGAGCCAGCGATGTGCATGACAGCCTCAGCTGTCCCGGGTCTCTGCCTCCTCATTGGCTGAGACAGCAAGTGGGAACCATTGGCTCCCGCTGCTGTCAATCACAGCCAATCAGCCAATGAGGAGAAAGAGGAGCCAGGGCCAATGTGTGGCTCATTGTGTAAATTTACACACGGAGCAGCGGCTCGGGAACACGCCTTCTCAGATGCCCCCATAGGAAGCTGTTTGCTATGGGGGCACCCGACAGAAAAGAGAAGCCAGGATTGTCAGCAGGGGACCCGAGAAGAGGAGGATCCAGGCTGCACTGTGCAAAAGCACTACACAGAGCAGGTAAGTATAACATGTTTGTTATTTTCCCCCCCAAAAAATCGAACCTTCAGTACCGCTTTAAGTTTACATCAGTCTACACCTTTTTTTGTCTTAGCTGCTACAGAGACCAATCAGAGGTAACAGAAGTATAAACAATAAATGTTTCTTGCCTAAAACAGACATAAACAGAACTGATGTAAATGGATGGCATCTGTTTACATCCATTTATATCTGTTCCATTCCATTTCAACAGATCTGGATGTTGACTGTTCCAGTTAAAAAAAAAAACGGACCTGAATGGACATGGATGTAGACAGATGTAAACAGATGATCATCCGTTTACATCTGCCCACCCATAGACATACATTGTCCTTCAGTCTGGATTCATCTGAAAAACTGACGGACAGATCTAGACTGAACGCCTATGTGAAAGGAGCCTTATTATTCCATATAGTAGTCTGTCTGATTATTCCTTGTCAATCTTTTTTTCTAGATTTTATGGAAGTGAAATGGGCGAAAAAACTCTGAAGGAACCCATCCATCAGCTCAAATGGAAACTGTAAACTGATCCCATTTGTTCAACCTTGCAAATTATGCCAACTGACTTGAGGAAACCTTATGCCCTATCAGCAACCTAAAAACCCCACTGTCATGAGAGAAACATGGAGGTTACCAATGATTATATCCTGAAAAGCTTTCTGAACTTTTTGAATCCTGTAAGGAATGATTTTACATTTCCTTCAATCTACTATAGCTAGATTATTATATATCATAATATAATATTTTCATATATTTTTAATTTAATATTAACCTACATAGAATACAATAAAATGCCTTTAGACACTTACATTGTGCAAGATAGTAGAAAAGGGAAATGTTATGTGATTAATTTAAAAGGGGAAACAAAAATGGTACATTATGTCCCCAGAAAAAAAATGGGAAATTACATGCACAGAATAAAAGTAGAAATAAAACCGCACCTTCGACAAAACTAGGGAAGTGGTACAATGAAGCTAACAACACTTTCATTGCAACATAAAACTCAGACAGCTTTTAGTCATGCAACATAAAGTGCCTTTCACATGGCGGGTTGGATCGAGTCTGCCTGTCAGTTTTTTAGACGGACCTGATCGGACGGTTCATTCACTTCAGTGGTCTGGTAGGTGTAAACAGACTTGTGTCCATTTACACTCACCTACCTCCCATCTGATGTGGTCCGCTAAAAGAAAAAAAAATGTAAGAGGATCTGTCCCCCTTCATCTAGGTGGATCGGAGAGCAGTCATGCGTAATGGGAGGGCTGAGTCTGCTTACTCCTAAACACCCATAGAGTAGAGCGGGCTCTGTCCGTGTCCGCTTTGCAGAAACTGAGCAGACATGGACCTGTCATCCATCCTCTCTGCTCTGATCAGCAAGGGATCAGCGGACAGATCCCCTACTGATCAAAGTGGAGTC